ACATCGCCCACATGGTTGCTTCTACTCCATCTCTTGCATCAGCATTACAGACCGCACACCTCACACACAGCTTTAGTCAAACTGTTGCATCTACCTGCAATAGACTAAAGTCTTATCTTTTTAAAATTCTGGGTGGCTATGTGTCCACTTAAAAATTGGTGGCTTTATTAAAATAGAATAAGGAAAAAAACAGGGTGGGTGCCAAATACTAGTCACTGCTACATAGATGATGTAGAAATCAGAGGTCAGTGTTTAGTTTTTAAAAATTCCATAGAAAGGGTTTGACTCTAATTATAAAACAATTTTAGTTTTCACTCAAACACTTATCTTACCTGCAATTTGTATATATTAATGTAATAGCTTGCTACTTTCATTGAACTATCTTGAAGGGAAATTATACAGAAAAATTCTAATAGAGATTTTACTGCAGAATTCCCAAGGAAAATAATATGTGCAGCCCTGGCCGGTTTGGCTCAGCGGTTAGAGCATCCGCCTGTGGTCCGGAGAGACCCGGGTTCGGTTCCCGCTAAGGGCAGGTACCTCAGTTGCAGTTTGTCCCCGGCCCTGGTTGGTCGTGCGGGTGGCAGCCACTCGATGTGTCCCTTTCACATCGATGTTTCCCTCTCTCTCTCTTCCTCTCTCTCCCTCCCACTCTGTCTGTACAAAAAAATGGAAAAATGTCCTCGGATGAGGATAAAATAATAATAATAATAATAATAATAATAATAATATGTGCAAGAGCTATAGTATAAAATATGTAAGCAATTATATATATATTTAAAAACAAAATTTTGGTAACTATAAACATCAAAAATACCTTTTACAAATTTTTGTCAAAAGAAATCATGCAATTTTTAAGCTAGAGACACAAAAAATACTTTAGATATTTCTATTGTTTTCATTAGATTATTATGTTTTAATGCAGGTTTAACATTATTACATGAACATAGCACAGAAAAATATTTTTGCATAGTTAACCTTGCTTTCATATATCTGTAAAGATATTTTTAGTGAGCATAGAAAGGATTTGAAGTATCATTCTGATTTTGAAGTTACCCTGGTCCAATTATTCACTTCACTTAATGAGACCTTTTGGCAAGGGAATCATAGCAGCTGCAAGAAATGTGCAGCTCACATATCATAAGGGATCCAGTGCTCAGAAATCCTGTGCTAATCCAGTATCTTCTTTATAATCTGTAAGCATGAAGTATGAATGTTTTCAAGAAAACTTTGAATATTTTCCAAATTTGGATTATTAAAATAAACAATCCTGAGAATACAGTTCTTGTTCAACTAGTAGAGATGTTTGGGAGAGGAATTTAAGTTTTGAATATGATGACGTATCTTAAAAGTACACTTTCATCTTACTTGCACATCGTAACATCTCAGCTATAATGACCAATCCTGAGAGTATACTGACCATTTTATTCATATAATAATTAAAATGTACTGACTTTATTATCAACTGATAATAAACTCACACTAATATGAGTTTTATATTTAATATTCACATAAATGATATAAGGTAGGTACTCTTTAAGAATGAGGGTACTGAGATATAAGGAGATTAAGATATTTTTTTCCAACATCATACAACTGGTAAAAATACATTGGAATTTAAACCTAGACAAATATTTCCCAAAGCTATAGCTATTAATCACAACACTTTTCTGCTTCTTTCCCTGCCTTCAACACTGATATCCTCACCCACAATACTTTAGTTAAAGAATAGTAATATATGATATCTTTCAATAATTTTATGCACTTATTGTCTTTAGTCTTTATTTTATGTAGGCTCTATTTTATCTACCTACAGCAGAAGATATAAAAAACTTTCCAATTTTTTTAAAGCAACTGAATAAATATCTGTGTTGAAAGATTAATGGTTTATATAGATATTTTCTTGATTTATTGTAACCAATATTTACTATTTCTTATACCTCAATTGCTGTATTTTGCTTTCTATAATAGTCATAGTTTTAAATTATAAAATATTTCAAATTTTTGTAAAAGCAAGATCATAATGTTTTCACTAGAAATGTTAACTATATCTTCGAAGTGGTATTCCTAAGTTACAAATGAAGGATAAGAATTCTCAGTTTCCAATGTTCCTAACAATGTTTGATTTTGAAATACTTTAACATTTAAAAACATTTAAATGATTATTATCAAAAACTTTCTCTCAAATATGTTTTATTTTTATATCTGAATTATTATAGTTGTCATTTACATCAAGAATTTTTATATGTTTAGGACCTTATTTATCCTCTTCTATCAATTTCTTTTTTGTATCCTCCCTGAGACTTGAATATGAAGATTATTATAGCAATTACAATAGCCTACAAAACTGAGTGGCTATAATGTATCAGATTCTGTTCTAAGTGCTTTTATATGTATTAATTCATATAATCCTCAGCGCAACACCAAGATCATTACTATAATTACTCTCACTTCAGCGATGAGGAAATTACAATTTCAAGTGATTAAGAAACTTACTATGTTAAATCTCATAACTACAGGAAAATCTTAAAAACACATGTGTAAACCAAAGCCAAGGCAATACTGATAGATAAATACATTTGATGACATTATTTCTGAAACTTTTGCTTTAAAAGTAAAGTTAGAAGTCTTATTCAAATTTATCTTCTCAACCTCATGGAGTATCTGTAGGGTTGGGGGTTTGGTGGATGAATAAAATGTATTTTTGAGCCCTGGCCAGTTTGGCTCAGCGGTTAGAGCGTCGGCCTGCGGTCCGGAGAGACCCGGGTTCGGTTCCCGCTAGGGGCGCGTACCTCGGTTGCAGTTTGTCCCCGGCCCTGGTTGGTCGTGCGGGTGGCAGCCACTCGATGTGTCCCTTCACGTCGATGTTTCTCACTCTCTCTCCCTTCCTCTCTCTCCCTCCCGCTCTGTCTGTACAAAAAATTGAAAAATATCCTCGGGTGAGGATAAAAAAAAAAAAAATGTATTTTTGAGGTATGTATTTTTGTGCCCTGGCTAGTCAAGAATTAAAATATGTATGAGAATCAATAAGGTATATATGATGGGTTGGAATGCTACCCTGAAAGTGTTATTAAGATATGTATGATAGGGCTGGAATGCCACCCTGAAATGCTAATAAATCTATTGCCCAAGTGTGAATGTGTTTGTTATGCATTTCAACAAAAAACCACTAAAACAAACAAACAAAAAGACTAGACTTAACTAAAAGATCAACAAAGATATTATCTCAAGGAGTTAATTATTTAAAACATTGTGTAACCTAGGGAACCACTTTACAAATAAATCGGACTACATCCAAAGATCAGGAGCATTTGCTCCCTTATGATACTCCTCCACACTCCAAGCCATGCCTACTTGTAGTTCATTGTGTTGCGACAACCCCCAGTAGGCTGAGAGTCAATGGTATCTAGTACCTGAGTAAGCTTCTTATCATGTACAAGTATAAAAGTGAATAAAATACATACATTGAATTCTTGAACACATCAGAGAGAAACCAAGGCAGCCAGCACTTGAGAAGCCAGATGTCAAAGGGAAGAGCACCGAGGTAAACTCAATGCTTACTTCTGCTTTCTCCAGGCATATACACATCACAGGGTCAAAGGGCAAAATGAAAGCAGAGAGCCAGGGCTTGCTGCAGTTTCTGAGTTACAGAGGAACAAATTAGAATTCAGAACTCCATGGAGGTCCAGGCAAGAGAGATAATTATCCTGGAAAAGAAGGAACTGCCTAAGAGGAAAAGTCTAGACATCTACCTTTGTTTCTTATAATCCTCACCTGAGGGTATTTTTTCATTTATCTTCAGATAGAGTGGGAGGTGGGGTGGTGGGGGGAGAGAAAGAAGAAACAATAATGTGAAAGAGACACAATGATTGGTTCCCTCCTGCACAACCCTGACCAGGTCCAGGGACTGAACTGCAACTGAGATGTGTGCCCTTGACTGGAATTGAACTCATGACTCTTTAGTCCACGAGCCGATGCTCTAACTTCTGAGCAACCAGCCAAGACTACACATCTACTTTTTGTTGCAGATGCCTCAGGATCCCTTGTGTCCTTGTAATTATTAGTAAATCTTGGTCACCTGTGAGATTTCTTATTCATGTGAACCTTATTTGATAATCTGACCACTTATTAGACATATTCAATAGTATTATGTCTACAACAAGCTAAAACATGAGGAAAAGAAAAATGAAATAATTTAAATATATAACAACAACAAAAAGGCAATATTGGAGAAAGAAAATGAAAAATGAATGGAAGGACCAATTAGGAAAAACATTAAAATTGAATTTAAAAGTAATCAGTTATTACATTAAATACAGATGGATTAAATAACCATGTAAGTCAGAGATCAGCACACAGGAACAAAAACAATCTTAACATAGGTACATTAATAATTGAAAAGTTAGAACTTTGAGGTGAGAAGCATTACTGTATAGAAAATAAATATTTCTTAATTTAAAAAATCAATTCAGCAAGAAAAATTTATTTTCTAAATATAAATACATAATATTGAAATATAGACAAAATACATAATATATAGAAAATTTTAAATTAAATTAAATTTAAAAAATTAAAATAAAAAAATTCATAATAACATAGAATTATATATCATGTTCTGTTCAAATTGATATTACATTGCTTAATACAACATTGGTTGAAGTAATAAAGTGTTTTAAATGGCAGTATAAAATATTCTTCAAAGTAAGGCATAAGATGTATCATCTCTGATTCTTAGAATTTCCTTTTTCACATGGACATAACTAAGGAAATGTTTTAATTCATAATTATGTAGGTCATAATACTTATTTTTGGTTCTAATTTTTGTTTTAATGTAATGAAATGATTCCATTTCAGTAAATCGTTTCTACACTGTTGCAACTGTTTCCTAATAGCTAGAGTCTATTCTGAACAGCATCATAGTTTTTAGTATCAATTCATTTGATTTTAAAAATCTCACTGTGAAATAAATCAATTCAGTTTTTATTTGCCCCATGTTTTAGGTGTGACAGTACTTGAAGGCCCCATTTATGCCGTGGGAGGCCATGATGGCTGGAGCTACCTGAACACAGTGGAGAGGTGGGATCCCCAGAGTCAGCAGTGGACTTTTGTAGCCAGCATGTCCATTGCCCGAAGCACAGTTGGTGTAGCAGCACTGAATGGCAAGTGAGTAGATTTCATTTTTATCTGGGAAAAAAAAAAGTCTTTGAGTGAATATTCTTATAGAAATAACTGTTAGTATGCTGGTTCAATAAAAAACTTTAAAAAATATCTTTAGTTTTTTATTTTTTATTTTCAAGTTAGTCTTTATGGATAGTTGACAAATCAAGACTGCATGTTTTTCTGGCTGTCTCTCCATGCAAAATCGAAACTAAATCTTTTTTACATGGATTGCTGGTTAAAGATGTATTTAACATAGTCCATGAGAATTAAGTCCAATAAAGATCTGCCTACTTATACCCTTTCTGGTAAAATTTCCCTGAGGAGCTCTCAAAAAGCTATTAAAAGTTTGTTGTCCAACATATAATTTTTGCATAACTATACCAGTCTGGTCACTTTTCACCATTTCATTTTATATTACTTTAAATTAGGAATTCCCCACCTCCATACTGTTTATATTTTGAGCCAGGTAACTTTGTGTTGGGGATGAGGCTCTGTCCTGTGCATTGTAGGGTGTTTAGCAGCATCCTGGGCTTCTATGCACTAGGTGCTAACTATACTTTGACCCCAATGTGACAACCAAAAAAGTCTTCAGACATTGCCTAATGTCCTCTAGGGATGGCAAAAGACACTCCCTCTCATTCCCTTGAGAACTCCTGCCCTAAACAAAGTTAATAATACATCCTGCCTGGACAACTGCTCAAGCGAACCATCTGGTCTCCCTACTCATTCCCCTAAAATCCATTTGCTAAAACAGTCAGAGCAATCTCTTTACAAATACAAAAGCCAATCTTCTTCAAGGGCTCTCTTTGCAATTAGAATGCCATGCTTATTTTTATCTAAAAGAACCCACTAGATCTTGTGCCTGCCTACTTCTTCCTTTTTTCTCTGTACAACTGCCAATTTTCCCTTTTACCTATGCCTCAAATATAACAACTTCTAACCCAACCCAATCCTATTGAGTTTTCCTTTTTCTTTGTCTGAGATGATGCTTCTACCAAATCTCATATGCCTGATCCTTCTCATCGTTCAGATTTTATCTCAAAATTGTCCATATGAAGTTATTTATTAGCCATTCTAATTTAAAATAGGCCACACTGAATACTTTCCAAACTATTTACTTACTGTTCTTGGAATCACATACATTATTGCTTTTTGTCTCTTTTTACAAGCTTTATATATGTTCAATAAATGTTGAGATTTTTGTGTGCATCATTCATTGTTATATCCCTGGGCTCAAGGGACCTTTATCATATCTACTGAGTGAATGTTGAGTGAATTGCCCTGTCTAATTTAGTTACTCTTAATAACCTTTGACAGTCTAAATGTTTTTTCAAATACGTGTAAATGTGTGTATTTTCAAAGTTACTACTATAACGCATTTCTGAAAAAAGGATACTGCTTCTTTCACCTAAATTATAAATAAATGTTTCTGTGACAATAAAAATATCTTAGGAATTCAAATATTAATGGGTATGCAGTAGTCCACCATATGCAAAACAAAACCCTAAATATAAGTCAGTAGTCTGACTTTTTACATCAAAAGTGTTTAAATATATCTGACATATGTATACCTAAAATAATATATCTGAATATTCTCCAAAATTTTATACTATAAAAAAGCAATTATATTCAGGCTTAAAATAAATATTTTAAATATTTTTCTTTTTTCAAATCTTTATTGTTGGATGTAAAATGTATTACAGATGTTCCACATTTTTCCGTCCTCCCCACTCCCGCCCCCCTCCCACCTTTTCCCACACTATTGTCTGTGTCCATTGGTTATGCATATAAGTTCTTTGGTTTATTTCTTCCCACTCCCCCAACCCTTTCCCTTTGAGGTTTGTCAGTCTAGCAATGAATTTGTGCTTCTTAATCCCTTCACCTTTTTCACCCATTCTCCCAACCCCCTTCCCAACTGGCAACCAACAAAATGTTCTCTGCATCTATGAGAATGTTTCTGTTCTTCCTGTTCATTTTGTTTATAGATTCCATTGTTGATAGATATGTATTCATCACCATTTTGTTTGTTCATACATTTTATCTTTTTCTTCAAAAAGACCCTTCATCATTTCATATAATAATGGTTTGGTAGTGATGAACTCCTTTAACTTTTTCTTGTCTGGGAAAGTTTTTATATGTCCATCGATTCTAAATGACAGCTTTGCAGGATAGAGTAATTTTGGTTGTAGGTTCTTGGTTTTCATCACTCTGAATATTTCTTGCCACTCCCTTCTGGCCTGCAAAGTTTCTTTTGAGAAATCAACTGACAGCCTAATGGGAACTCCCTTGTAGGTAACTAGCTGCCTTTCTCTTGCTGCTTTTAAGATTCTCTCTTTGTCTTGAACCTTTTGCACTTTGATGATGATGTGTCTTGGTGTGGGCCTCTTGGGGTTCATCTTGTTTGGGACTCTCTGTGCTTCCTGGACTTGTATGTCTGTTTCCTTCACCAAGTTAGGAAAGTTTTCTGCCATTATTGTTTCAAACAGGTTTTTGATTTCTTGTTCTCTCTCTTCTCCTTCTGGCACCCCCAAGATGCGAATGTTGGCACGCTTGAAGTTGTCCCAGAGGCTCCTTACACTATCCTCATTTTTTTGGATTCTTTTTTCTTTTTGCTCTTCTGATTGGGGATTTTTGCTTCCTTATATTCCAAATCGATGGTTTGCTCCTTGGATTTACATACTCTATTATTGAAGCTGTGTAAATTATTCTTTATTTCAGTTAATGCCTCCTTCAATTCTAACTGTGTATCCATGATTTCTAACTGGTCCTTTTTTATGCTCTTGAGGCCCTCCCTAAGTTCACTGAGGTTCTCACTAAGTTCATTGAGCATCCTTATAAGCAGTATTTTGAACTCAGTATCTGTTAGGTTGCTTATCTCCCTTTCGCTTAGTTCTTTTATTTGGCTTTTGTTCTGTTCTTTCATTTGGGACCTGTTTCTTTGTATCCTCATTTTGGCTGCCTCCCTGTGTTTGTTTCTGTGTATTACTTAATGAGAGGTATGGGGCTCGCTGAGACCCGATGCTGCTCGTTTGAAAGAATTTAGGAAAAACCTGAAGCAGGATCCAAGACCGGCCAATCCTATGGTTAAGCAAGTGGCAACAGCTTGGGTGGGCTTGAAAGTTGTGTGGGGTGGGGCAGGGCGGAGCCTCAGGGAGTCACCAGGGCGGGGCTACCAGTGTGAGCCAGGTTGCTGGAGTCCCAGATATGGCTTCTGTCTGCCACCCCCGGGAAGGGCTCACCAAAGGAACAAAGGCCTCTTACAGCACTTTTGTCCCCGAGGAAGCCCCCTCTCCAGCCCTCGCTCCAGTGCCAAACAGCTCAGTTATTCCCTGTATGTCTCTGGTGCCCCTCGAGCTGCCTCCCCTCTGAGCTTAGAGGGAGAGAGTCCGATAAGTCCGTGCACAGGCCCTTTAAGGAGCTGCCTGGGGCTCCAGCCGCCTCAGCCTCCCTGAGCCTCAGTTCCTGCTGGTTTTTCCAGCCAGAAGTTATGGGGATTCTCTTCCTGGCACTGGAACCCTGAGCGGGGCACTTGGTGTGGGACGGGGACCCCTCAGTCCTCAGGAAGGATATTCCCAGCTGCGGGAGCCTCCTGATTTTTATCCGCCACACTTGGGTGTGGGACTAGCCCATCTCGCTGCTGTGCCACCTCTGCCACGGCCACCCCTCGCGCCACCGCCGCCCCTCCTACCAGTCTGGATGTAGCTGCTTTTTTTAATTCCGCAGTTGTAGGACTTTCATTCAGCTTGATTTCAGGCGGTTTTGAATGATGGTTGTTCTGTAGTTTAGTTGTAACTTTGATGTGGTTGTGGGAGGATGCAATACCGCGTTTACCTATGCCGCCATCTTGACCGGAAGTCCTTAAATATTTTTCTTAATAGAATTCTTTTTTCATAAATGCCTTTTCTCCTCAGTCATTTTTTTGTCTACTTAAACTGGGAAATTTTATCTTCTATATCATAAATTCAATCACTGACATTTTGTTTATGAATTTTATTATCTCCAATGTAGTCTTACAATTTTTACATTTCAATTTTTCTTACATAATATCCTTGACTCCTCTCTTTCTTATCTGTTCCATTAACATGAAAAAATTTTTTTTTCTTTATTGATTTTAGAAAGAGAGAAAAGGAGAGAGAGAGAGAGATAGAAACATCAATGAGACAGAACATCGATTGGTCACCTCCTGCATACCCCCCACTGAGGATTGGGCCCACAACCTGGGCATGTGCCATGACTGGGAATCAAACTGGCAACCTCTTGGTGTATGGGTCAACACTCAATCACTGAAATATCTTAATGTATATGTGTTTTTTATAGTTCTCCTCTAAACTCAACCAGAAATAAATGGGATGAAAATCTTATAAAATACTAATGACAGTGTTTTGTAAATTTCATATGTTGCTATAACTATACTGTCAATCCAATTTCTTCTACTGTCTCTTTTAAATTGGTTATATATGCAATTTGTTATTTGGGTTGTGTTCCTTTTCCTTATATATTTTTTGGCCAGTTAGAATATTTAATATCTTAAGAAATCCTGTTTTACTCTTAACATCATTGTTCATACCAAAAATCAGAATGTGATGGTATTTAAAATTTTTATTTTCAAGTGCTTTTTTCTAAATTTTAATCTCATTCTATGAAATGTTTTAAATAATATAACATTTATTTCCATTAATCTTTCTCTTTTAAAATAAAACAATACATCACTCATTTGAATACCCTACCCCCGGTATGATTTAATGGCCTCAAAATACTGTGCTTTATGACTGCTACTAATATCTTGTTGCTTTTTTCTGCTTACTCAGAAAGAAACATAATCACTAGAAAGTCACCTTTCACTTTAGACCCCTAGCAGAAAATTGTTTCAACATCACCCTCTGACAGTTGTGTTTTTTTCCTCATCTCCACTGATGTGTTTTTTCCCTCTTATGTTATTTTCACATCTCACTAATGTGTCATTCTAACCCGACTGTTGCTTCTCTGAATATAATTTTGAATAA